CAATAGTGCTTAACCACTTGCGCCACCAGGGAGGCCCAGTAACTAATATTTTTTTTACTGATTTCTCGTTAGCTCTTCCTAATGGTTGAAGGAGCACATCAAAGACTATAGCACAAAGTGCATATGCATAAAGAGCCAAAATAAACACTGAACTGGAAAAAAGAAAATATTGGTGGAAATGGTCTAGAGATAAACATAAAACAAATGTAATAAAAGCATAAAGCAAAAAATAAGTAACTTTAGTTTTAAATCAACAAGCTATAAAAGATAAAATTAAAAATTTAATGTTCAAATACATAAAATCTGTGTAGTTGCATGCACAATAAAATTCACTATAACTATTGAAAAGTAATCATTCCACTATAAAAAAAACTCTAATTGTTTATTTCTGTTAAAAACCTAAATAATCAAATATAAACTGATAGGTAATTTTTTAGAAGATATGTAAGAAAATAAACAGTTCAGTTCACTTTTCTTTCACAGATTATACAGCTATAATATATTTTCAAAGGTATCTTATGTTAATCAACTTGATAATAAAGAATAAAAGATTTTAAATTTTTTCACATTCAAATAAAAAAGATTTTTTGATATTATATTATTTCAATTTTATTGACTCATTTTTGGAAAACAGTGTATTTATATAATATTCACTGAGAAATTCCATAGCCTTCCAGAATATTCTATTACAGGAACATCCAATTTTTAATCAGTCTGAATGTATAGTAGTTTATTGCATACTATGTAGCACTCATTTCTTTCATGCTAAGATTATATACTTCTTCGGGCCAAGGGATACAATTGTGTAATAACTAAGAATGAGATTTTAAAATTAGACACACCTGAATTGGAATACTCTCACACTCTTGCTACTCAAAGTATAGTCTTTGTACCATAGTGTCAACATCACTTATAAGAAATGGAGCTTATAAGAAATGAAGTACCTCTGGTCTCAGGTCAGAGTTATTGAATAAAAAGCTGCATTTTAACATGAGCTGTGGGTGACTGATATGCACATTAATATTTGAGAAGCTCTGGTATATACTGCTTATTAATTATGTTTCCTTGGGCAAGTTAAAGCTGCAAAAACCTAGTCTCCTTATTGAAAAATGAGGCTAATAATAGAGCATAATACTATTGTATTATGTAAAAAATACATAATACTATTGTAAAAAATAATTAGATAATTCTACTTAGCAAATTATAAGATCTTACTGGTATTAAATTTTATCATCTATCTCAAATGTGTATATACATGATTTTTTCCAATATATTTATTTATAGTTACACACTGATACCCCATACAGATAAAGTTCCTTTAACCCAGAAGTCTCCCTGAGAGTAAAGCTACAATAAAAATAGAAATGAATTAATAATTTCTTCATTTACAGTACAATGTAGCATGTGTTTTTCAATAAGCCTCAAAATATTTCTCTTCTAAATAATCTGTCTTCTATTTTTGTGGAATCAAAAAAAGCAAATAAAGAGTTTTGTCTGAAAATAAACATGAATTTTTCTCCTGGCATAAAAATCTAATTATGCATTCATTTAGTCATTGTATCTTCTATACTGACATCACACATTTAAGAAATCACTAACCCACACAGCACTCAAATAATATACCTGATGTCCTAAGCTTCAATTCAAAATAATTGAGAGAAGTCTCCAGAGATTCCCAATTAATTCAATTAAGAATATATATATACATACCCACACACACACACACACACACACACAAATATAACACATACATAGTATTTCATTCTACTACCCTTTTCCAAGGGACTTTGATATCCAGATTACCTGCTTCCTACAGTTGAAGGAAATATAAATGGAAGCATTTTCAGTCATCACTAACTAAATAAAAAACACTTTTATAGGGACCTCCCTGGTGGCCCAAGGGATTAAGACGCAACCTATGAAGCTGTCCACAGCCTCTTCAGCACGAGTTCTATCCCTCAGCCAGCAGGGGAGCAGCCCACATGGTGCAGCAGACATCTCCTGTCTCGCCCGCTGCTCCCATCAGCAGTGTACTTCAGTCAGTCTGCCTGTTCTGTTCCCCACTCTGTCTCTGGTGAATCCTCTCATCCCCCACACCTCTGGCCTGTACCCAGCTCTTGCATGAATAAATAAATGAATTTAAAAAAAAAAGTTTATAGAAAGTATCTTATTTTTATTAGATACACTTTTATTGAAAGCACACTTTACATCTCTAAATGAGACTTTAAAAAGGTATCCACATACTCAAAATTAAAGATAATAATGCTCTGAATCATCCAGTCATGAGAATTTATTATGGATTATCCATTAATACATTTTTGAAAGTTAAGTTTTTCAACTTCTGGCACTATGGCATACCAAATATTCCAAAGGACCTTACAGTTACATTGCAACATGATTCTAGATACTTAAAAAACATAATATAAAGGCATGTACTTTCCAAGAAGCATGGAAGCCTTCTGAGCACTACAAGATATATATATAGATATATATATATATGTAGATATATAGATATATAGATATAGATATAGATATGTGTGTATGTATATATTTATATATATATGAGAGAGAGAAAGAAAGAGATCAAGCTAAAGAGCTGTATGAGATGAAATAAAGAGTTGTTCTGGGACAAATATCAAAATAGTACTGAGATTTGTAGAATCAGAGGAACAAAATCTGACTACTGACATTCCATCTAACTAAGGACATATAAGAACTTTACAAAGACATTTTAAATCTTTTTGAAAAGACATATGCACACACATATTCAGTGCAGCACCATTTACAAAAGCCAAAGTATTGAAACAACCCAAGTGTCCAACAAGATGAGTGGATAAAGACATGGTATATATACACAGCACCACACTACTCAAATATTTAAAAAAATGACAACATTTAACATCTTGCTTTTTCCTTGCATTCTAAAGGCAAAGGGCCTTGCTGCAAAGGAACTTCAAAACATAGCCAGGGACAAAAACCTGAAAAAGACTTGAGAACTGCTGACCACCAGACAGTGACCAGAATAGGTGATGCCAACAAAGTCATCAGATGCTCATGTTAAAAGAAGGGGCAGGCTGATCCTAACCCACTTCCCCCATCATGTCCTTATCACTCCACTTAAACACCTCTGTGCTTTGCTAGTAAGAAGAGGGTTAGTTTCTTGGACTTGCATCTACCACCTCCTCATTTGTCAACAACTAAATGAAATGACTTTCCTTCCCCTTAAAATTCAATTCTTCTGATTGGTGAAGGGGACCAAGACCAGGAATTTTGGTATCAATACATTTGAAGAAATATAAACCTATACTCCTAAAATATACATAGTATTGAAAACTAATGTTACTTCAATCAAAAAGAAAAAGAAATTTATAAACACTTTTGAATGACAAAAAAATTGCTGAGAATATTAAGTTTGTATATAGAGAAACAAAAGATAATCAATTCTTCCCAATTTCATCTGCATCAATGTGATGCCAATCAAAATCCCAGTCAAAATGTTCATAGATAATTACATTTTGAATCTAAAATTTACTTAAAATGTGAATTAAAGAATATTTAAGATACTTCTGAAGAATAATATGGTGAGAGACTGGGTCTGCCAGACACTTAGTTTGGTAACTGGAGATTACCGAGAAAAGACAAGGTAAAAATGACCCTGGGAAAACTGATTGGAAAAATTTTACTTTGGATTGATAGCTTAAAACTATTTATTGATATTGGCTATAGGTAAATAAATCAGCATGCTAAACTGGACCTATCAATATAAACAAAAATTATATTTATAACTTCAAGGTAGCAAAAGATTGCTTAAAAACATATATATCAAAATATAAAAATATATTTAATTAACTTTGACTACATTAAAATTAAGAAAGAACTTATTTTACCAAAAGGACACCATTAAGAAAATGAAAAGACAAGTCACAAACTGGAAAAAAAATTGCAGCATATATTAGTTAAGTAAATTATTATCAAATATGTGCAACCTAAAAATCAATTTAAAAAATTAAAATGCACGATATGAACAGATATTTCCCTAAAGAGGAAACAAGAATGGTGGACATATAACAAGATGTTTGCTCATTTGTAATATTCACAGGTACATTTTATACCAATTTGATTGCCTATACTTACAAAACCTGACATTGCCACTATTGGCCCGAAAATAGACCAATGGATCTATGTTCTTATCTTGTGACTCATGTCTTATGAGAAGAGGTCTAAATTGATACTTAAGAGAAAAACTATGACACTTTTGTAAAGCTGACTTTGTGATTACCTATTAACATATAGTGACCTTACATATACTCTTGAAAATTCTTATTCATGAAAATTTAGCATTACTCAGGGTAGCATTCATCTGGAAGTAATCCAAACATTTACCAACAGAGAATAAATGAGCAAATTGAGATATATCTTCATAACATAATATTTAATTGTAAAAAAATGAATTAAGCAAATACGAATAGGCAGATAAGTCACACAAAAAAGTTGTTGATGGAAGAAAGCAAGTGCTTTTACTAAAGCTGATAAAACAACCCTAAACTGAAAAATATTTTGCTTAGCAAAACATTTACATGAAATACAACTAATTTTAAGAAGCACAAAACAATTAATTGAATAACCAGAGTACTGGCTACTCTGGCTGGGAGGCAAATTGTTAGGATAGGAGACTGTTACAAAAGTCATTTTTAAGGGTGCTGAAAATATTTTTGAGCTTTATGCTATAAGACAGATGTAAATGTTTTATCGTAACTCACACATGCATAAATTGATATATGTATCAATCAAATGTACTATGCCTAATAATACTAAAAAATTAATAGAAATAAGCTAATTACTTTGGGTTCACAATGAAACCAAACTCATCTTTTATAAACATAATAGATGAAAACAGTTTTGTAGGTAAAGAAGACATACTAAAGAACACCTCCAAATAAAGCAGGAAAGTAAATAATGTGTAATAGGAAATAAAATGAACAGATCCAATTTGAACTCACCACCAAGGCTTTAGATCGGTTGCTTAGAAGTTTCTCAATATCCCTGGCTGCAATTTCCACCAACTGGCGTGCATTATTTGGTTCCACAGTATACAAATCTTGGTATTTCTCATAAATCTGTGCAAAGGGAAAGGAAAATTAATAAACACATTTATTGCTAATTTGGTGCTAAATTCATATTAAAATGAATTGAAAACTATTGACAACTGATTAGAAAAAGGCTCCCTTCTCCTATATTCATCTTGATTATTTTGGTGTTCAGGTGTGTCAAAAAATGTATACTAATTTGCCATAAGATCACCAGCTCACCGAAATAGCATATCATGTTAACAGTTTGTAGAACATCTTGAACCACCAAGACTTTTATATGCAATTTTGTGATTCGATGTTGTTGAAACCACAAAACCATGAGCATTTTAAAGAAAAAGAAAGGACATTCTAGAAATGGAGAACTGAAACCAGGGCGATCAAAGATGTTTGCAATGAAAAGAGCAGAGGTAAGAAGAGGATGTGATAATGTGCTGAGAGAAATTTCTCCCTGTCTTCCTTTCCCACAACCTCTGAGGTTAAAGTGTATGCTGCTCAACCTTATGGAGAGAGAAAAGAGAAAGAGAGGCTATAAAGGCCCTGCTCAGGTTCATCTACACAGTGAGTTTCATTTCACAAACAGGAGGGGAAGGTCACTGAGGTCTACATTAAAGTTTGCTTAAAACAGAAACAGTGTAAAGATTTTTTTATAACAAATTGTATTTTTTAAACCACTGAATCAAACTATTAAAAAGGAGCTATGCAGCACAAATAGAACTCAACTACATTTCTGGCTCCCATCAGCAATCAGCATCTATGAAAGGAATTCCCTAGAGGAGCATAAGAGACACTTGGTTTATAGAGCTTGCACCCTCCTGGCAGGAGAAGAACTAGAGAAAATGGGAGAATATGACCATGTTTGTGGCTGGAGGGCTGAGCTGAGAGGAAATCCCTTATGCATCCAACAGATGGGCTGCACATGCATGACTAACCCATCTTTGAAAGCCAGATCCTGCCAGGATTTTACCATCTTATGGGAAGTGAATCCAGGCATATGCAAGAACCAGCTCAACCCTGTATTTTTCTGGCACAACTCCAGCATTCAGCATTATTACCAACAGGTTCTACAGCCTGGTCCCGGCTGAGCACAGAGGCCATGGTGAATACTGCTTTCAAGTGGACACAAATATATACGCTAACCTCCCAAACAGAGCATGTTAGCTTTACAGGAGTTATAATTTTTCACTGAAGGAGTTAAAAAGTAATCAGATTTAAAGATGTAAATACAATTTTCACTCCCAAAATTGTTTGACATCCAAACCATGAAGTTTTTCCCATACAAAATTGTTTGAATTTTGGTTTTCATTCCAATTATTTAAGGCACATTAATTTAGTCATCTAAAATCCCCATATTTTGTTTCATTCAAAATTTTTGCATATACTGGCTTTCTTATGCTTTCTGCTGAGGGCAGATTATTGAAAACCATTTTAAAGGCACAGGTTATCCATGAAGAATGCCATTCAATCTAAAGTTCTTTCATTTCTGCCTAAGATGACATTCAGCAACATGAACTCCTGAATAGGTTAATTGACTTGGGGTACAAGTAGGTACGCCTCAACATCACCTTCATTGATTCAGTATATTTAGTTCTCTGTGGTATAGCCAATATAACTAATGTGTGTGAAAGGCAGTTATGCTTGTACCATTTATATCTTGCTCATGTCTGCCTGAAGTCTAGGCTGCTTCCTGTGGTCTAGAGACTACAATGGAATGCAGAGTTGGTGGAGAATAGATCAGGATGCACAAACTGTACTTTGCATTACATGCTACAAAAGTGCTCATAATTATCACTACACTACACTATAAGTAGTTTAAAGAATGAACAGATTATAAATCAGAAAAAAAGTTTAATTCAATTACATACATTTTTTCCTCAAATGTTTTCTCAGTTCTGTTCCTAGAATAAGTTTTAAATACTTAAAATATAAAAAAGACCTAGTTTACAAATAAACTTTAAATAAATGAAGTCAAAAAAGAATAAGTCTAGAGACCCAATATAAATAACCTACTGTATTTTTTATGTACAAAACCACATTTGCAATATTTTCTTGGTAATATAAATGAATTAAAACCATATAATTTTCCCACAAAAACAAAAACCTACCTCTTGCTTCTGTTTTTATAGAATACAACATACTTTGCCTAAAATATGGCAAAGTGCTCTCAAAAAACCTGTTTAATTGTTTGTTAAACAGTTCTGACAGTAGAAATTTCACATGGATATTTATGACTTTACTTTCATAATACATATTTATAATCCTACTGTTAAAAGAAATGGCATTTCTACAATTAATATGTTAACATGAGAAAATTTACAGAATCTTAAGCATATTTTCCGCTTCCTAATTTTCCTTATCCTTTAATAAAAAAGATTATTTATTACCATCTAATCCAATGCCTTTCCTCAAAGAAAAGCAAGGTGGAAATAACACCAGCTTTGGCATCAGATAAAAGAGTTCCATTCAAAAAAATAAAAGAGTTTTCCATTCAAATCACAAGTCAATTCCCCATATGCTATGCCACGCTGGTCTCCTTTCCTCCTACGAGAAAGAATGCAGCAAACAGAATTCAAGTCAGGATGCTTTTCTTCCTGAGTGATACACCAATATGCTTTAACTTTTCTGGTGTTCAAGTCTCCTCATTGTCATCCTTGACACAGTTTGAATAAAAATACTTGTCACATGTACATTCTTCCTTTTTTGCAACCGCAGTTGAATGACTTCAATATGCTTTCACTGCTAAAGTCACAGACCATGTTTTGCTGTGATAGTATAGATTATGGTTGTCCTACCTCTTTCACTGAAAACCACTAAGTCTCTTATCTCTAAGTTCATAGATTAAAGATAATCTTCAGACTAATACACTGTTAAATATCCTCAAATTTTAATATTTAAAAACTAACACCACTCATTGATTTAACTGCTTAGTAAATGTATTTATTAGACCACAGATAGTATACATACCTGCAGAGATGGCTACAGAAAGACAAATATGCTTGCAAGTTTTAGATAACTAGAAGATTCTATTAGCAATCACTTTCACTGTAGAATGGTAAAAAAAAAAAAACTACTGTGATTATAAGTCCTGAGAAGGAGTCTGTACCCCAATACTCACTCTAGGGTCCAGACTGTAGTGCAAAAGCATCATAGCTCGTCTGCCCATGAGTCCCTTTTCATTGGCCAGCTATCACTCTGATTATAGTGGGGATCATCAAGCTTCACGTTTACAAAAAGGTGCAACATATGGACCATAATTTTCTATAGACATTTACAGCGAATAGTATTGATTTTCATTTCTGTTATTGTTCATTAAATCATGGTTACAACTTATTTTTCCGCAACATTCCCTTACCATTTTTAAGATGGCCAAATTGTTCAAGTATTCTTTAACTCAGCAGTGCACAATCTAGTGCCCACAGACCACATCTGGTCTATCTCCTAACTTTATAGACTTTAAATCTAAGAATGTTTCTAACAGGTTCGTGTTTTCTTTTTTTTTTTTTAAGATTTATTTATTTATACATACAAGAACTAGGGTACAAGCCAGAGGTGTGGGGGGTGAGGGGATTCACCAGAGACAGAGTAGAGAGCAGAACAGGCAGACTGACTGAAATACACTGCTGAGGGGAGCAGAAGGCAAGACAGGAGAGGTCTGCTGCACTATGTGGGTTGCTCCCTGGCTGAGGATCGAACTCGTGCTGCAATGGCTGCAGCAGCTTCATAGGTTGCGTCTTAACCCCTTGTGCCACCAGGGAAGCCCAGCAATCACTTTTAAACAGCTATTTTATACCAATCTTATGTGTTTCACCTAGATTATTTACTCACTTAAGAAATGTAAAGAAACACAGTTAATTAACCAATGCATTAATGAGAACATTGGAATTCAGGTTTTAAAACATCAGGTGGAGGGAATATGAGTCCCATTCACCTCATAAAGGAGCAAAGTACTGTTCAGTGGAGCAAAAGTGTTACAGTAATCTGGGAAAGGGAGTCTGCACTGCCACTCTGTCCCATGGCTTCATCAGGATGTGGGAATTAAGGATCAGTGTCTCTACCAGGAAACTACCCAGTGAAGGATCAAAGGGTTCCAGAAAGGGGATCTCGATGTAGAGTGATGAATGGACAGTGGGAAACAGAAGTCCAGCTGAGGGATGATGGTTAAAACCACCAAGGGTCGAGGGTCCCTCTGCAAGGTGAGGCCAAATTCTTGGAAGCAATTACACTCATCATCTACGCCAAGAGAGCAAAAGAGAGCAAATACACTAACCCAATAAACAAATGTTTCCCCTTACACCCAGATGCCAAGGAACAAAGAACATTAGACAATATTTAAATCCGTAATTGACCACAAAAAGACTCTGAACTAAAAGAGACTCACCCTAAAATTGGGGAGTTTAATTTTTTCCCTCCTGAGAGAGAATGGCAGCTCATGATTAACTTAAATTCCCTGAAGAGAAACTCAAATTTCCACATATTAAAACTTAAGTATGAGGGGCCTCCCCGGTGGCGCAGCAGTTGAGCGCTGGGTTGAGAAGCTGCCCATGGCCTCTGCAGCACCGGTTCGATCCCCGGCTGCTCCCCGGCCACCGGAGGAGGGTCCCACATGGCTCGCAGACCTCTCCTGCCGCCCGCTGCTCCCCTCAGCAGTGTACTTCGGTCCTTCTGCCTGCTCTGCTCCCCGCTCTGGCTCTGGTGAATTCTCTCACCCTCCCGCGCTTCTGACTGTACCCAGTGCATGTATAAACAAAAACAAACAAACAAAAAAATAAAACGTGTCTCTATTAAAAAAAAATAAAAATAAAAAATAAAACTTAAGTATGAGAAATTTGACAACCACTTCCTTCAAACACATATATTTACTTCTCACCCCAGGAATATATCCTTGACAAGCAAACAAGCGCTGTCTTATTCACAGCCATCTTTCTGAGGGAAGGTTCCCCTTTGACAGTTCTTGATGAAAGAAGAACCCGTAAGAGTTTACTTGCACATAAGTGGCAATATTCTGATGTGTCATCTTGCCCTGGGCCAAC